GACCATGGCCTGTATCAGGCGCACCTTAGTCTCCAGAGAGACACCGTTGCTCCTGAGTACTTTAGAGAGGTCCCTAACAGCAGATTTTCCCATCACAATACGCTTTTTGATTTCCTGACTGCTGGTGCCAAGAGTGTTGACTGTGGAGCCGAGCAAACTGAAGCTGTGATATTAATATAAATAATATAAATATAAATATACACTTTCTGCCACTCCTTTGTCATTCTGGTGTTTAGCCAGGGTGGGGGTATTACAAAGTATTATCTCTTTAGTAGTAAATAAAAATTCTACTTTTCATCATTTATCATAAAACATTTCTGAAAATAAAATTCAGTTACCCATAGTTTACAAAATAGAAAAATCATTCATTAGGATAAAAATGTGGTGTGATTTCTGCTGGTGGCATTGTAAAATGATGCCGCCACTGTAGAAAATACTGTGATGCTTCCTTTAACAGCTAGAAGTAGAAATAGTATATGATGTCCTGGAATGGTTTCCCCCGTGAGAAGGGTCTACACCTTGGAAAATGTCACAGAAAGAAAAATTGAAGGGGGAAAAAAAGAAATAAAGAAATAGAGTATGTGACCCAGTAATCAATCCTACACTGGGCATAGGTTGTTGCTTGGTACCATTGAGTCGGTTCCAGTTAGTAGCCGTCCTGTGTAGAACAGAGCAAAAGCCTGCCCTGTCTTCCACGCCTTGCTCTGTCTGAGCCCGTTTTGTCAGCCCATCTGATTGGAGGTCTTTCTCTTTTTCACTGACTTGACCCAGCACAATGACCTTCTGCAGGTCTGGTCCCTCCTGATAACGAGCCCAAAGCAAGCGAGACCAAGTCTCAGCCTCCTTGCTTCTACACAGAGTTGTGGCTCTGCTGGCCCCAGACAAGTCTGTTTGTCCTTCTGGCAGCCAGTATTCTTCGCCACCACTACAATTCGAATGCACCAACACTTCTTTGGTCATCCTTACCCAGGGTCCCTCTTTCTGATGGCTGTGAACTGTTCCGGCTTCCTTGGAGAGGTCGTTCATGCTTGGGAAGGCAGCAGGGTGGGGAAAGAGAGGAAGACCCTTGACCAGGCTTGACACAGTGACTGCGGTAATGGGCTTGAGCGGGACAGAGATTGTGAGGCACCGGACAGGACCAGGTTCATGTCTGTTATTCATAGGGTTGCTATGAGTCATACTCTCCTCGATGGTACCTTAGTTACAACAACACCGCCTTAGTCCTAAAAGTGACATCTTTGCATTTTTAAAAAAATATTTTATACTGGTTTATTTACAAAGTACATTGTTTTTCACACCTGATGTTTCCCATTTCCTTCACCCCCTCCTCCACCCATTAAATTGTGCAGATAGGATTCACACACACACACACACACACACACACACACACACACACATCCTCACCCTTCTGTTCCCACCCTCTGCCACCTTGGATCCTCATACTCCTTTTACAATTATGATCTTCTACAATATTACAATATTTGTCCTTGTGGGACTGAGTTAGTTCACGCAACATAATGCTCTCCAGTCTCTCCCAAGTTAGGTAATAATTTACAAAAGTATTGCTCCTGCGTGCTGCATAGTATTCCATCATGTGACTGTACTGTAATTTCTCAATCCATTCGTTTGTGGTTGGACGTTTGGGCTGTTTCCATGTTCTTGAGATGGTGAATAACACTGCTATAAACATTGCTGTACAAGTCTCCATTTGTTCCTGAGTTCTCATTGCTTTTTAACACCCTAAAGAGGCCTTTTGTAGCAGATTTATCCTGGGCATTGATATGTTCTGTGTGTCTTAGAGACCCTCTTGTGGAGAGACCCCTCAATCCTCACGCTGACTGGCCTCTGTTGGTTTCCCTGCAGGTGATCTATGCCCTGAACACCCGCCAGGACGAGGCCGAGGCCAGCATGGAGGCCCTGAGGGAGGCCCACCAGGAGGAGCTGCAGAACGCAGTGGCGGAGACCAAGGCCAGCCTCCTGCAGGACCAGGGCCGTGCACAGAAAGATGCGCTCCTGCAGCGCATCCAGGCCCTGGAGAGCGCCCTGGAGCTGCAGAAGAGGCTGACGCAGGAGGCCCTGGCCGAGTCGGCCTCCTGCAGGCTGGAGACCAGGGAGAGAGAGCTGAGGGTGGAGGCCGAGCACGCGGAGAGGGTCCTGACCCTGTCCAAGGAGATGCTGGAGCTCAAGGCCGACTACGAGAAGCGACTCCGGCACCAGTGGGGCTGGCTTTCCCAGGACGGTCCTGACACCAAGGGTGAGCTGGGCCAGGACCGCAGCCCTGAGATGCAGGAAGTCCTGCAGGAGGTGGAGAGGCTGCGTCTGGAGAACCAGCAGCTGAGCAAGGACTATGCCCGCAAGGCCGAGGAGCTGCAGGCCACCTACGAGCGGGAGAACGAGGCCGTGCGCCAGGCCATGCAGCAGTCGGTGAGCGAGGCGCTGTGGCAGTGGCAGGAGAAGGAGACAGACCTCCGTAAGAACTTCCAGGCGCAGGAGTCGGCCCTGCAGGCGCAGGTCAGGAAGCTGGAGGGGGACCTGGAACACAGGGGCCGCAAGATAAGTGACCTGAAGAAGTACGCCCAGAAGCTGAAGGAGAAGATCCAGGTAAGACGCCACTGCTTCCTGACTCTGATCGGACAATAGACACAGCTCCTGTCTCTACCCACCTGCTATACACCGTGGTAGGCACTTGGCTTCCACCAGGGTGGGAGTTCTATCTCCACCAGATCCCTCTGCATTCCTACAGCCAGTATTTCATGAACTCCTGCCCATCCTGGAGAGGGTTAAACCAGGAAGCGCCTTGGAGGCAAGGATTCTGAGGCTTGACTCACATAACTTTGGACATGTTGTAAAGGAGAGACAGGTCCTTGGAGAGGGACATCATGCTTGGGAGGGTGGAGGGACAGTGCAGGAGGGGAAGACCCTCTATGAGGTGGATTGATTCAGTGACTGGGGTAATTGGGATGGGTGTGTCAGAGACAGTGAGATTGGCACAGGACAGAGCAGAGTTTAGGGCTGTTGTACACAGAGTCGCTATGAGTCACAAGCGACTTGAAGGCACATAACAACAAGAACAACAAGCTGCCCATAGCCAAGCAGGGGGTAAATTTGTCTTGGGCCCAGATCTCAAGTAACTTTAGAGACGTGGAACTTTGCAGTTGGAAAAACAAGACTGAAATCAGGGAGGAGGAACTTAAGGAGAGGCTTTGTTGCTGTTGTGGGTGTGTGCTGTCAAATTAGAACTGACCTATAGCTGACCCTCCAGGGGGTTTTTCAGAAGCAGTTAATTGAACAGGAGGAGATTGTCCATCCTTGTCCCTCGGAGCAGGTGAAGGATTCGAACTGCGGGCCTCTGGGATTGCAGCACAGCGCTCTACCACTTGGTCACGAGAGCAGTGATCAGTTGTTATTAAGGCATCTTCAGCTCTTGCTGTCTCCAGGGCTGCCGGGGAGGAACTGTGCTCCGCACAGAGTTCTGTGGCTGATGATTCAGAAGCCGATCACCAGGCATTTCTTCTGAGGTGCCTTTGGGTTGGATTGAACCACCTACTATGCAGGTAGTAGTCAAGCACTTAACCATTTCCACCACCCTCTCTTGGCTGAGGGAACTCTCGTGGCCTAGTGGTAAGGTGTCGCACTGCCAACCCAAAGACACGTCGTTCAAATCCCCCAGCTGCTTCTTGAGAGAAGGATGGACGGTCTCCTCCCATGCGATTTACAGCCCCTGAGAACCCACTGGAGGGTCACCTGTGAGACAACTCTGCCTCCATGATGGTACATAACAACTCCTGGCTGAGCTCAGAAAGGGCAGAATCTATTTTTGAACTCAGGCCAGCTTAATTCTAAAGCCCCGGCTCGTTTCAGGCTAACACCCTGCCTACTTCATAACCATCAGGGCTGTGTTCTGTGAACATGGTCGGGGTGACATGAGCCCCACAAACCTACAGAACCCCATCTCTGAAAAGAGCAGCTACTGACGTGTCTGACACTCCTTGAGCTGTGTTTCTGTGCCAGACACTTTGTCTTACTTAATGTGGCACCAGCAAGGGTGGATCTTACCCAGGGCTGCACAGCCAGTCAGAGGGTGAGTGGACACTTGCTGGTCTCGAAGACCAGGGGCCTCTGCTGCGTGCTGGCTTGCCTTTTGTCACCTTTTGTACATGAGGCTGTCTTCACACAGAGCTGTAACCAGTGGGGTGAGGAACAAGACCCTCCTGTCTCTTTAGGACCTGGATGTGCACCTCAGGGAGGCCCGTCAGGAGAACTCGGAGCTGAAAAGCACAGCCAGAAAACTCGGGGAGAAGCTGGCCGTTGCCAAGGACAGGCTGATGATGCAGGAGTGCCCCGTGCCGCAGAAAGCCGGTGAGATGCCTGGGAGAGCTTTCCGTTCAAGACTGAAGGTCATTGCCCAGGTTGGCCTTGAGACAGTTAAGGGGGCAGAGTTGGGGCTGGGGTGGGGGGGTGTGTGGGCTGGGCCCACCTGGTTGTGAGCCCATTGCGGCACCAAGGTAAGCTGACACCTAGATGGGCTTCTCCCAGCTGGTGGTCTCATGGTGACTTCGACTCCCACCCTCCCATCAAGTTGATACCAATTTATAGCCCCCTCCATCACGTTTCCAAGGCTACAGGAGACTGCTCGTCTCTTCCCCGCAGAACACACTGGCGGATTTGAACTACCAAACTTTTGGTTTAGCAGTGCAACACCTAATGTACTGTGCCCACAAGTCTCCTCATCTTAAGCCTCCCAGTGCTAAAATGTCACATGTGAAGGCTTTAGCAGACATGGATTTCCTCACAGTTTAGGGAGAACAGACTCATAGCTGACCCTCTAGTGGGTTTTCAGAGGCTGTAAATCACACAGGAGGAGGAGACTGCCCGTCTTTCTCTCAAGATGCAGCTGGTGGATTCGAACTGCCTGTCTTTGAGTGGCGGCACATCTCCTTACTCACGAGGTGCCCAGAGCTTCTAGGAGACTAGAAGTCCCGATTCAGGGTGTTAGTTTTAGAGCACGGTGTCTGCTGAGGAGGACGCCTGTCTCAGCTTCTCCTGCCTTTCCTTGGAGGGCGGCTTCCGCGTGACATCGATCTCCCCATGACTGCTTGCTTTCTGTTTAATCTACGCCTTCATAGCTCAGAACTGATTGACGTAGACCTACCCTACTCCGATAGGGCCTCATTAACATAGTAATAATTTTTAAAAACCAGTAACTCTTGGCCATCAATTTAGAACCGACTCCTACCTGACCCTCTACGGGGTTTTCAGAGGCTGTAAATAGCAAGAGATAAGAGTGCCTGTCTTTCCTCTACGGTGAATCTGGGGAATTTCAAACTGCTGCTCTTTGTGTTGGCAGCACAAATCTCTCCCCACTAGGCCCCCAGAGCTCATAATAACATAATAAAAAATATTCCATTCTCAACTGAATTTACAGCCTCAGATAAGTGATAGTTAGGTACCTGTGTGAAGCAGAATGAAACACGGCTGGGTCCTGCACCATCCTCATAAGCTTTCATGTCTTAGAGTTCAGGGCTGCAAATATTATATCAGTCCAGCTCACTGAGGACCTTCCCCTTTTTCACCGACCTTCAAGAAAACTCGGGTGGTCTACTGGGTAGCGACCTGCACTGCCAACCCAAAGGCAGGTGGTTTGAATCCTCCAGTTGCTCCGTGGGAGAAAGATGAGATCCACAGCCTTGACCATGCTTGAAGTTTAGTAGACCACGGAACGGAGGTTGTGCAGGGAAATAGACCAAACAGCTGAATAGGTGGGTGGAAAGCTGACCTTGGAAAGGCTCGGGAACAAGGCCTAGGACCTTGGAAATGATGCTGAAACTTACTCTTGCAGATGACACGAAGGCCGAGTTCGTTTCAGAGGATGACATCATGGGAGAAAGGGATGACATGGAAGCCCCCAGTCTTCATTCTCAGCAGGACCAGAGTTGTCTCAAGGAAAGTCCAGGCCCAAAAGGAAGCCCAGAGGCCCAGGTAGCGTGTGATCCAGGCCTGAGGGTGGAATATTGCAGCAGGCTTTGCTGGAATGCACTTGCATGGAGGCCCGTTTTCAGCCAGTACCCAGCTGGAAGTAGCAGGTCTCTTGGCTTCACAGGGATGCATGAATTGGAGGGGAGTTGGCAGCCAACTTCCTGCCAGTCTCTTGGCATTTGGAAGCAGGAGGCTGAGAATGTAGCAGAATATTCCCAGCTCCTTATGTCAGCTCCTGGGAAACTTCCTTAAGACCAGTGGCTGTTGAACTGATTTCAACTCATGGCAACCCCAAATGTATTAGAGGGGAACTGTACACAGAAGGGTTCTCACTGGCTGGTTGTGCAGAAATCGATCACCTAGGTCTGTCTTCTGAGTCAATTCTGAATAGACTAAAAAAACCTCCACCGTTTCCATCAGCAGCTGGGCATGTTAACTGTGGGCACTGCCAGGCATTCTAGAACATTGCTCTGAGCGCCCCTCGTGTCTTCCCAGTGCAAGCAACCAGCATTCCTTAGAAATTATAGTAGCATGGACCAAAATATCTGATTCTCTGACAATAGATAGACTGACTATCATGAAGGGCCCTTTTGGGGGAGTAGAAAAATGTTCCAGGCTTACAAATATCAAATATATGGCCTTGTAAAATCTATCACGATTGTAATAACTTCCTGTGAAGTCAGTCTTTAAACACAGGTCTGTGCTGAATAAAAGAGAACTGAGGGTCCCCTGCTCCTGACCCCTCTCCTATCACAGCGGTTTCACGAGCTCTTTTCCTCCTTTTATAGACCAAGAAAGACTCGAATGTTGAGAAAGAGTCTATGAAGCAAAAATACGAAGAAGACCTGCGGAAAATCAAGCATCAGACAGAAGAAGAAAAGAAGCGTCTCAGAGACCAGTTGGTGAAGCGACTGGAAGACTTGGTGAAGAAGCATACAGTGGAGATCAAGTCCGTGCACTCGTCAGTGGAGGCTGAGAGGAAGAAGCTGCAGAAGGTGAGATTTCCTGTGATGGGTAACTAACTGTCTTCCTGTCCTGACGCTGCAGTAACAAAACACCACAAACTAGATGGCTCAAATCAAGAGCGATTTCTTTTGTTTTGTTTTTGTTTTTGTTATTCTTCTGCTTTAATAGAGGAACATTTGGAAATACACAAGTATCTGTGGGGGGAGGGACGGACCAAGAAAAGGTAAAGTAGCGTTTGGTATTGAGGACACACTGGGCTTTGATTGGGTCTTAAGTTTCTAACTGCCATCACAATCGTATCTGAGGTAAGCCATGTCCACTACTCCATAAACACACCCAAGGGCAGTACAAACCCCTACATTCTACATTCACTGGGCATTCCATCTTTATTTTTTTTCCTTTCATGAGAAAAGAGTCCTATCTGTCCTTCACTACCACAGTCAGCTTCCTAATGACAAAATAATATGGGCTGTTATTTTGATCCTTAAATTTGAGTTGATTTTTAATATATATGTCTCTGTGTGTGTATAATTTATTCTTTTTTATTTGATCTTATTAATTTTAATGAACATTTACAGAGATTTGGGGTTTCCATTCATTCATTGTTTCCTTTTTCTCCCTGTCCACCCCTCTTCCCCCCATTCGCTCTTCTCTTGAAAAGTAAAAGAAAAATTCTTTCATTGGTATATAGTCCCCACCCACCCCCACCCCGAGTACACTCCACTATGCAACCTTCATTCCGGACCCCTGTCATAACCATAATACCCAATCATATATTGCTTTTAAACAGTCTCTCCCTCATCTGTTTCAATGCAGTATATGTAATTTATCTGATTTTTCTCAGTCTCACCCCAACCCTGAAGTCATTCCCGTTCCCACAACAGTGGCACTGTGCAGTATTTGTCCTTTTGTGACTGAGATATTTCCCTCAGCCTAATGTCCTCCAGGATCACCCATTTTGAAACATATTGCATCAGTTCCTTTATTTTCAATGCAGCGTTCCAGAAGCTAAGAGTCTAGTCACAGTGTCTTCGGGGCCGTGTTCTCTCTGAAGGATCGGGGAAACTTTCCCCTGACTCTTTCTAGCTTCTGGTGGTACTAAGGATTGTGGGTGCATCACTCCAGTTACTGTGTCTACCCTTACACAACCCTCTCTGTGTGTCTGAGCCTCTGTGTCTCTTCTCCTCCTCTCACTAGGACACCAGTCATATTTCCTTCAGTCCCACCCTCATGACCTTATCTTGACTTGGTTCTATCTACAAAGACTGTCCCTTTTCAAATAAAGTCACACGCAGGGAACACAGTTCAGACTACAGCAGAGACTGTTCTGTTTCTTCTGGTTTCCTCCCACCTCTTTCCTTTCCAATTTTGCTGCTGCTTTCTTTCTTTCCTCAAACTTTTCCTGGGCTCCTGCCACCACCTGGCTGTGATCCAGTTCTCTGGGTTCACGGAGATGAAAGACAAAGAACCTGCCCAGAAGGCAGTCACAGTCTTCTGCTGGAGACAGACCGTGACACAGTAGCACTGTTGACAAGGAGGAGATTTGCTCCTTAAGGAAACAAGCCAAATTCACTGCCATGAAGTTGGCTGACTTAAAGCAAGCCTGTAGGTTAGAGCACCCCTGCCTACACAGAGGGTTCCCAGGTCTGGAACCTTCCTTTACTGAAACAGCCTGCCTCATCTTTCTCCTGAGGAATAGCTGGTGGGTTCGAACTGCTGACTCTTTGTTTAGCAGCCAGATCCTTAAGCACTGCATCCCTGAAGGCTCCTTGATTTTTGTCACTGTTGTTAGGTGCTCTCGAGTTGGCTCCGGTTCAGAGTGAACCTGTGTCTGTACCACAGAACATTCCCTGCTCAATCCTGTGCCAGTCTCACTATGGAGATTGTTTTTTTTTAAATTTTTTATTTTATTATTTTTGTGTGTGAGTGTACCGTCAAATCAGATCTGACTGGTACAGGAGGAAATTGTCCCTCCTTCCCCGGCAGAGCATCTGGTGGATTCAAACCGTGAGCCTCTGGGATTGTAGTTGCAGCTCCTTGCCACTAGGCCACTAGAGCTCCCCTAGGACTATGGAGATTGTAAGAGTAGTATGAGCAGAGTGTAGGAGTCCTGTGAAGACTCTAATCAATACTATGTAGTCTGTATGAGGACTATTTAGACTATATGAGTACCATGCAGACTGTATGAGGACTATGTAAATTATGTGAATATTATACAGACTGTATGAGTAGTATGAACAGACTCTATGAGTACTATGTAGACTATATGAGTACTACGTAGACTGAATGAGTCCTAGGCAGACTTTATGAACACTGTGCACTCTTGTGAGGACTATGTAAACTATGAATACTATGAAGACTGTATGAACACTGTGTGGTCTGTATGAGGACTATGTAGACTGTATGAGACTTTGTAAACTCTGAGTACTATGCGGACTGCATGAGTACTGCGTAGACTTTATGAGTGTTATGTAAATTATATGAGTAGTATGAGCAGACTGTATGAGTGCTCTGTAGACTATATGAGAACTATGTAGACTGTATGAGTCCTGTGCAGACGTATGAACACTATGCAGACTGTATGAAGACTGTTTAGACCATGAGAGTACGATGCAGACTGTATGAGGACTATGTAAATTATATGAGTACTATGTAGACTATATGAGTACTAGGGAAAGTGTATGAGTCCTAGGCAGACAGTATGAGGACTATGTAAACTATGAGTACTGTGCAGACTGTGTAAGTACTATGCAGACTGTATGAGCACTATGTAGAGTGTATAAGTTGTATGTAAACTGTGTGAGTGCTGAATTCGCTGTATGAATAATATTAATAAACTATGACTCACAGCAACCTTGTGACTGTACTGTAGTTTCTTTGTAGCTGTTGTTATGTGCCAATGAGTCAGAACCAACTTATTGCTGACCCTCCAGTGGGTTTACAGAAGCTATAATTAACAGGAGAGGAGATCATTGTTTGTGTCTATTTATGGGTGTACATATATCTGCTTGGATGTCAGTTATGGTCTCTTTGGGGTATATTCCCAGTAGTGGAATTGCTGGGTCAAATGGTATCTCTATTTGCAACTTTTTGAGAAAGCGCCGTACCACCTTCCACAGTGGTTGCACCATTTTACACTCCCACCAACAATGAACAAGGGTTCCAGTTTCTCCACAACCTCGCCAGTATTTGATGTTTACTGTTCTGTTAATTTTGTTATTTTGCTATTCTGACTGGGGTGAGATGGTATCTCATAGTTGTTTTGATTTGCATCTCTCTTAGAGCTAGGGATTGTGAACATTTCTTCATGTGCTTGTTGGCCATCTGAATGTCTTCTTTGGTGAAGTGTCTGTTCATATCCTGTGCCCATTTTCCTATTGGATTATTTACCTTTATCTTGTTGTGGTGCTCAAGTATTTTATAAATTCTGGATATAAGTTCTTTATATGATATGTCATTACCAAATACTTTTTCCCAGTCAGTGGCTTCCCTTTCTTCCTATTGGAGAAGTTTTTGGATGTGCATAGGGATTTGATTCTTAGACGATCCCATTCATCTATTTTATCTTCTCCTCATTGTAGGTTGACAATCTCAATCTCTTCACCATCTATCATGATGTTGCAAATCGGCCCAGTGGTGAGAATCTTTGTTTTCTTGATATGAGTTTCAATCCATATTGAAGGCTGCAGTCCTTGACCTTCTGCAGCAAGCGCTTCAGGTCCTCCTCAGTTTCAGCAAGCAGGGTTGTGTCATCTGCATATCACAGATTGTTGATGAGTCTTCCTCCAATCCTGATGCCACATTTCTCATAGAGTGCAGCCTCCTGGATAATCTGTTCTGCATACAGATTGAAAAGGTCTGGAGACAGGACACTCAAAACTCACTGCTGTTGAGTCAGAATCAAATCATAGCTGACCTTTCAACAGATTTTCAGAAGCTGTAAGTCACAGTTCACTTGTCTCTCGCCTGAGGAGCATCTAGTGGATTTGAACCACATGCCTTTAGGGTGGCAGCGCAACTCCTTACCCACTAGGCCACCTAAGCTCCCTGGGTATTGTTGTTGGTGCTCCCTATATCATGGTGACCCTGTGTACTGTGAATGGGACCGAATGCTGCCCTGTCCTCTGCCACTGCTCATAATTGGTTACTGGCAAGATTCCAGATGATCCAAAGGATTTTAACTGGTTAATTTTCTGGAATCCATCATCAGGCCTTTCTTCCTACTCCAGCTTAGAGTAGAAGCTTCACTGAAACCCGTTCAGCATCATAGTAACTGAGCAAACTTCCACTGACAGATTGGGGAGTGCCTGCATAGGAGGTGCCTTGCCCGGGGTTTGAACCCAGGCCTCCTGCATGAAAGGCAAGAATTTTACTGCAGAACCACTACTGCCTCTAGCATAAATGCAGGTGATTAATCAGTGGCATATCAATATAAGAGTGGAGTCTCACCTCCGTGTATGAGCTCAATCCCTGACAGAGAGGGGTGGCTTTCTGTTGAGACAGAATGCAAAGCCTCATCCCTCATGTTTGCCGGGGGAAAGCAAATAACACAAGGGAATGTTCTAGGAGAAGAATGAAGCGTAAATCAACTTTATCTTAAAGAGATAGGTTTTGTTCTTCTAAGACTGATTTGCTCTTTCTTCTGGCCTTCTCTGGTCTATTCAATAATCTTCACCATCGCTGCAGTTCAGATGCATCAATCCTTCTGTGTCTCTTCCCGTTCTGTTTTCTCACACATGGGAAGTGGTTGAAAATACATGGGTTTGGGTCAAGTGTACCTTAGTCCTCAAGGTGACATCATTGCTTTTTAGCATTTGAAAGGGGGCTATTGCAGCAGCAGATTTTTTCCAGGCCAAAGCAGATTCTTGGGGTGGGGTTTTTGTTGTTGTTTTTTTTTCATTCTAAATTTAAGAAACTAAAACTGAAGATTATAAAATTTGCATTATAGATATCTTTTGGGGGGGTATTTTAATTGTGATTTTGACAGAAGTTTACAGAGAATTGTATTTTCATTCATTCATTGTTACATATTTTCCTCCCCCGCCAGTTCACTTCCTTTTAAAAAAAATCATTCATTGTTGCTCAATTTCCTCCTTCTGCCCCTTTCTTTTCCCTTCCTTCAGTCCTTTTTTCAACTTACCTCTTTTTCTGGACCATTGTCTTACATATACTGCCTAATCGTACATTCCTTTAAATAATTCTCTCCCTCCTCTTTTCCAATATAGTGTTCATTATCTATCCCCTCTTTTCCTAGTCTCCTCCCAGCCCCCTACGTCATGCTTTATAACAGTGGTGTTATGCAGTATTTGTCCTTTTGACACTGAAACATTTCACTCAGCATTATGTCATCCACTGTCAGCCATGCTGTGTAATGCTTTATGAGGTCATAATTTTTCAGTGCTACATAGTATTCCATTGTGTGGATATACCAGGGTTTTTCTATCCATTCGTTTATTGATGTGCATTTGAGTTGTTTCCATCTCTTTGCTATTGTGAATAAAGTAGGAGTGTAAAATGGTTCACCCATTATGAAAGGTGGTCTGACACTTTCTCAAAAAGTTAGAAATTGAAATACCACTTGACCCAGCAATTGCACTGGTGGGACATTGTTGTTATTGTGTTGTTGTTAGGTACCATCGAATCGCAGGCGACTCATAGCGACCCTGTGAAGGAGAGTGTTCAATGCCTGTGTGTCTTTCATCCTCTCTCCAGGTTCATAGGGTTTCCAGAGGCAAGCTATTACGGAAGTGGATGCCACTTCTCCTTCCAAGCTTGTTTTAATCTGGGAGCTCCACCCCACTCTCTGTCCACATTGGGTAGCCAACCATTAATACATCAGTGTCACAGTGTTCAGCCTCACAGCAACCACAAGTGACCACTGTACGGCAAGTGGACACACCAGGGTCAGAGCTGTCATCCAAACAGATGTATGCACACCCATGTTTACTGCTATGTTATCCATAGCAGATTCTTGTCGATAGATGCTGTCGAGTTGACCCCGACTCCTAGGGACTCTGTGTCCAGTGGAATGAAACCCCACCCAGTCCTGCATTATCCTCACAATCCCTGCTCAGTTCAGGTCCGTTGTTGCAGTCACCGTGTCAATCTGTCTCACCGATAGTCCTCCTCTCTTTTACGGACCCTCTGCTTGTTCAAACATGATGTCCTTCTCTAGGGACTGGGCCCTCCTCTCAACCTGAAGAAGCCTCCCCCTCCTTGCTTCTGTGGAGCTTCTGTCTGCACTTCTGACTCTGGTGTGAATTTAGCATTCATTTTCTATTTTGGCCTCTCACATATGTCTAGTTTCTGTTTTCTTACAGTATTAAAGATTCTTGTAAGCTACTCTGAGCCCCTTTGTGCGTAAGGCAGGACGTGAGTACAAAGTGCCCTACCTCTGTCCTCCTGCCTTTTGGGATTAATTCTTTCAATCATCATGTAGGAAGTGGAAGCTCAGTTGGAGGAGGTGAAGAAGAAGTCCAAAAGTGAAATCAAGCAGCTGGAAGAGGAGAAAGCAGCTCTAAACGTGCAGCTGCAGAATTCACTGCTGGAGGTAAGCCCGGGGTGAATGCAATGCTGAGAGGGGGGGTGCCTGTCCCCAGCGTGTGTTTCTATTGGTCGAGAGGCCGGAAAGCTCAGAATCTGCCGGGGCCTCCATGCAAGCAGCATCCTGGGAAGAAAGAAAAGGACATTCAGCACAGGCAACAAGGCTGTTTGGGGGCGGGAGGGAGGAGGAGATGATAAATTTAGCTGTAATAGAAAGCCTGACTTAGAGACTTAAACAAAGAGGATGAAAGGTGGTGTTCAGTGATAGAACCCTCACCTTTCATGCAGGAGACCTGAGTTTGATTCCTGGATGGTACACTTCATTTGAAGCCCCACCTATTCATCAGTGGAGGGCTGTATAATTGCTGTGATGCTCAATAGATTTTAGTGACACTTCCAGACTAAGATGAACTAAGAAGAAAGACATATCTGGAGCAACAAATGAAGAAATGGAGTCAGGAATAGAAGGAGGGTATGAAACATGTGCTTGATTATCTCTGTGATCAACTGCCTTCTTTGGTAGGAGACCAGAAGAACTAGATGGTGCCCCACTACAATCACTGACCGTTTACATCAAGCATTCCATAGAAGAATCTTTAACAAATGGGGGAAACTGCAGATTATAATTTCAAATCTCCTGGACTCTAGATGTTCTGTAGCTGTGGAGGGTGGTGGATGAACCCATGAAAACTACATTCTGAGATAATTCTTAAGCCTAACACCAAATATTAAAATATCAGAAACAAAAACCAAACAAAAGTTTAGCTCAACTAGTAAAGAATGGATATTCTATTATTTTAATGAGAATTTGAGGAGATCAGATTGACCACAGCTGCTCAAAGACCTGCTAGGAAGCTTAGAGTGGTAGTGAATTTTATGTTAAGAACAACTCTGAAAAGGTAAGAATGGTTGCACAACTTGTAAGATGTATTCATCGTCACTGAATTGTACATGTCGAAACTGTTGAATTGGTATATGCCTTATTGTGTATGTTCTCTCCAATGACAGAATAAGCAAAATTTTGAAAGATTGTAAAAAGGAGGACTGTTTGGAAATAGGCCAGTGAAAACCCTCTACGACCAACTGTGGGATGACCCATGACCAGGCTTCACTGTGTTCTGTTGTGTGTAGGGTCCCATGAGTCTGTGGGCTGAACTCTCGGCAGCTAACAAAAACAGCATCTTGCTCTCGTTCAAATCCTTTCCCTTTCCTTGTTGTAGCTAGCATGGTGCCCACCTAGTATTAGGTTTTCTGTAAAGCCCTGGTGGCTTAGTGGTAAGGAGTTGGGCTCCCAACCCAAAGGTACATGGTTCAAATCCATGGGAGAAAGATAGGCCATCAACTCCTACGCAGTTTATTGCCTCTGAAAAGCCCCTGCAGGGTCAGCTATGAGTCAGTTTTGACATGATGATACATAACCACTTAAAGGTCTGTGAACAGTGTCTGAATTTCCTCTGTTATCACTGGTCTCCTTGGAGTTGCACTGCCAATCCAAAGTCAAGAGGTTTGAATCCACCAATTACTCCTGGAAGAAGGATGTGCAGTCTCTTCCTATATTATTTAAGTCTCTGAAAACCTGCTGCAGGGTCCGCTATGAGTCTGTTCTGACTCAATAGTGACACATTTTTATAAGTGCCCGTCAACAAACGAATGGATAGAGAAGCTGTGGTATATTCACACAATGGAATACTATGCTGCACTGAAAAACAAGGAACTCATGCAATATTATTCAAAATGGGTGACCCTGGAGGACATTATGCTGACTGAAATATCTCAGTCACAAAAGGACAAATATTGCATAGTGCCACTGTTATAAAACAGGACTGACTTTGGGTTTGGGGTAAATGAAGGAAAGACGCGATAAATATTGTATACTGCATTGTAATAGATGAGGGAGAGAACCGTTTAAAAGCGATATATGATAAGGTATTATGGTTATGGCAAGAGTCCAGCATGAAGGTTGCATAGTGGAGTGGACTCAGGGCGAGAGTGGGCAGATTCTATTCTAGTGTCACTTTGGAATTTTTTTTTATTATTATTGTTTTGTGTGTAGCGTCAAATCAGATCTGACTGGTACAGGAGGGGGATTGCCCCTCCTTCTCCAGCAGAGCATCTGGTGGATTCGAACCATGTACCTCTGCGGTTGCAAGTGCAGCTTCTTGCCACTAGGCCACCAGAGCTCCTGGAAATGTTTTAATGGTGCATTCTCCCTGAACTGACGAGTCCACAACAACTGATGCCCAGATTGAGTATCGTGTCCATGAGCTAGGACTTTTCCTTGCCCAATGCTTCTTTTCTTCTTCTTAGACTTTAAGGCTGGAAGAATTTATCCACCAGAATAAGGTTCCTCCCCCGAAAGCTGAGGAAGGGCCCCTGGAGCCACAGTGCTCACGCTGCAGCATCTTGGAGACCCAGGTAATTATGAGCCTTTTCTACTTAGGGAAGGCCTCCATCTCTCAGCACTCCGGTGTCCCTGGTGACGCACGCTGACATTAATGGGCTCCTTAATCTCCCCCTCAGCACTGCCAGAGGGCCTGGAAAAAATGACCACACAATCCATTTGCAAAAACCACAAAGAAAACAAAGAGTTCTGAGCGATGACCCGGGTGGTTTGGGAGGGAACAAGGCTTGTCAGATGAAGTGTCTGGATCGCGTCACTCATTCTCTTGGTGCGCAGCCTGCCTGGTGGGGTAGGGGCCCTGGACTAGCTCAGGGGCCTTGGGTTGGACCCAGCCTAAGCTGATTCGCTCATAATAATGGTCCCCTTGCCAATACCGCCCACATCCGGGCTGTCATTTATTCTCACAATAGCGCTTCAAATAGCAGCTGTGTGAGGGGGCAGAAATGAGTTCCTGTTTGTCTCTGTCTGGCACAGCGTAGTAGGATGAACTCTGTTAACATCCATTACAAGAATGGATGTCAGAAACACATCTTTCCCCTGCAGTTAACATCGGACTGTAGCTCATTTTGAAGCAGAGAAAATGAGAATAGCACACGTTTAGGTCTTTTGTACATGAGGTCATTATGGGTCAGAGGTAACTGGACAGCACCTAACAACGTACCTTGTTTGTAGCACAACTTGCTTATTTGTAAGTGGAGCAGGAACAACATGGGGGTGACTTCCACTAACTCCACAAAGGAGAATTGTTCCCATCAATAGCATCCAGGACACAAAGCAAATCCTTTGGTAAGACATGCCCCCCTCATGCACCTCCTTCTGCTAATCACAAGGTCCAGTACCTGTTGTATGAGTTGTGGGGTTTGTTAGGAAAAAAAACAAGGGGGGGGGGCAGGAAAGACAAAGGGTATCACACAGTGAAAGTCCAGGTGCAATTGAACAACACAGTTGAATAACTGCAAGAAGCTTCTGGTTTCAGTTGTCCAGCAAACCTCATCTCATAGCAGTCACAAGTCAGCTCTTCCCTCTGTCGTCCAGAAACAAAACCTTTAAGAGGTAACTGGACGGCACCTAACAAAATAGCTTGTTTGTGGTAAGACTTGCACACCTGTAAATGGAGCAGGAACAATGTAGGGGTGACTTCCACTGGCTCTGACACGAGGGTTTCATCAGGCTATGCCTTGCCACTGTCTCTCTACGGTCCGGTTCACTCTCTCTTATATTGGCCTCACAGCTGTTGAGGATGTTGAAGATACTGATCAGCAGGTGAACCATGTCTTCTGCAGTTGAGGCAGCTGGAAACCGTGCCCCAAAGGGGGCTAAGGCAAAGAGTAGAAGAGCCATGTCCCTAAGACCCGACACCACACGTCAGGGGTCACACTGTGGTCTCTGATATGGTGCTCGGTTGTTGGAAGCTGTGTTATCAGTAGTCCACGTATCAGCAGAGTCAGCGGCAGTGGGCAGTTTCCAGCACAGCTTCCAGACTGAGAAGAGAGGTCTGGCTAGCAGCTTCTGAAAATTGTTGTTGTTGTTATGTGCTTCGAGTCGTTTTCGACTCATAGCGACCCTATGCACAACAGCCCTAAACCCTGCTCTATCCTGCGTCAACTGCACTGCCTCTGACACACCCATCCTGATTACCCCAGTCACCGAATCAGTCCATCTCATAGAGGATCTTCCCCTCCTGCGCTGTCCCTCCACCCTCCCAAGCATGATGTCCCTCTCCAAGGACCCGTCCCTCCTGGCAACATGTCCAAAGTATGTCAGACGAAGCCCCAGAATCCTTGCCTCCAAGGAGTAGCTTGGTTTAATCCTCTCCAAGATGAATCTGTTTGTTTTTCTGGCAGTCCATGGTACATTCAGTACCCTTCTCCAGCACCACAGCTCAAAAGCATCCACTCTCCTTCTGTCCTCCCTAGTCATTGTCCAACTCTCTGATGCATAACAAGTGATTGCAAAGACCATGGCCTGTATCAGGCTCACCTTAGTCTCCAGAGAGACACCGTTGCTCCTGAGTACTTTAGAGAGGTCCCTAACAGCAGACTTTCCCATCGCGATACGCTTTTTGATTTCCTGACTGCTGGTGCCAAGAGTATTGACTGTGGAGCCGAGCAAACTGAAGCTGTGAACACTTTCAATCTCTTCATCATCCATCCTGACGCTGCCAGTTGGTCCAGTGGTGAGAATCTTTTGTCTTCTTGACATTGAGCCTCAGTCCATACTGAAAGCTGCAGTCCTTGACCCTCCGCAGCAAGTGCATGAGGTCCTCCTCAGTTTCAGCAAGCAGGGTTGTGTCATCTGCATAACGCAGATTGTTAATAGATCTTCCACCAATCCTGATGCCACAATTCTCCTCATAGAGCCCAGCCTCTCAGATAATCTGCTCTGCATACATGTTGAAAAGGTAACCAATGAAAATGTGATTGACAGTGGAATGTCATTCAGCTCAGTTGCTTTGGATGTAACCTCGAGAGGATCCAGTACCAGACGAGGGTAAAGTCGAGGCTCCGTGAGGACATGGGCGGCCTCAGAGAGCTGGATTGCCTCATAAGCTGCAGCAGAGACGCTGTGAGGGTGGCGGTGGACTGAGCGGCATTTTAACGTGAATCGGAGTCCCTCAGTGGCAGCTGAGCGCAGCAGCAGTGGGAGAACGCTCCCGCTTGAGTGGCCTTTGCTTCCTGCGCTTTCTTAGTCTACAGCAGGGCCACCATAGCCCACTGTCATTTTTATGCTGCCTTAACTTTTAAGCCCATTTGAGGGCCAAGCGTGATGACCTTTAGATGTGAACCCGACTCTCACTACTTGGGCCTCCGGCTCTTAGTAACTCACTTCCCGTGTTCTGTCTCTCAGCCCTGCCTTCCAGGACATGGGTCCTGCCACCAGGCTTCCTGGCACCCTCCAGTATGATGGCCCCTGAACAACTGCAGGATAAACAAAAACTCAAATTACAGTATGCTTAGATTTAAGTAATAATGGAAGCGTGTATGGGAGCTGGTCTATCTGTGACGTCGTTGCAATTTCCTTTCAATCCTGCACTGTGCCCATTTGACAGAGGAGGAGACTGAAGGTCAGAGGAGTTAGGTAACCTACCGTGATCACAGGCAGGCAAGCGTCTGGGTCAGGACCGACCCCACCTCTGTCACTCTTCCCACCACTCTTGCTGTGAGCCCATCACATACCCAGTCAAGTCAATTCCCTTCAAGTTGATTCTGACGCATGGTGATGCAGAATGTGTCAGAGTAGAGCGCTCCAGAGAGAGCTCAGTGGCTGGTTTTTCAGAAGTGGTTCTCCAGGCCTTTCTCCCAATGAATGCATTTCTGTTGTTGTTGTTAAGTGCCATAGAGTCGTAGGCGACTCATAGCGACCCTATGAACGAAAGTCCTCAACAGTTGCGTGACTTTCATCCTTTCTCCAGATTCATAGGGTTTCTGGAGGCAAGCTATTTACAGAAGTGGATGCCACTCCTGCTTCCAAGCTTGTTTTACTTGGGGAGCTCCACCAAACACTGTCCACCATGGGTAACCATGATCACATTTGACACATCAGTGTCACAGTGTTCAGCTTCACAGCGAACACAAGTTACCTCTGTACGGCAGGTGGACACACCAGGGCTATACGAACTAGAAGACTGTTTGACCAAAAACAATTAAAGACAGGCCTTAAGGCTGCGGATTAGAGTCACCCACCTTTGGCTTGGTAGCATCACTTTTGGTCCACTAGGCCAACTGGTCTCTCTCTATGTTGTTAAGTGCCATCGAGTCATAGGTGACTCATAGTGACCCTATGAACGAAAGTCCTCAACACTTGCATGACTTTCATCCTTTCTTCAGGTTCTTAGGGTTTCCGGAGGGAAGCTATTTATGGAAGTGGATACCACTCCTGCTTCCAAAATACATCTCTGGACGGGCATAAACCTCTAGCCTTTCAGATTAACAAATGTGTACCCAGGAACTCCATCATATTCTCCAAACTAAACTCAAACCCACTGCGATTGAGTTCGTTCTAACCCATAGCGGCCTCCCACCTGGTATCCAAGGCTGCCCATCCTTCTCACCACGACTAGAGGCAAATGATGGGTTCAAACCACTAACCTCTCGCCTAGCAGTTTCATACATTATGCACTACGCCACCACTACACTTTAAATGTGGAAGAGACCCCCAGCTGTGTCTCAGGGTCCTGGAGAGCAGCCAGGAAGGACACCCTGTTTCCTCTTCTGACCCCAGAAGAGCGCAGAGTCCTTCAGCCACCCCAGCTGTGATGAGTGAGCCTAGAGAGAAGACCCCGATGCAGAGACACATGCTTTGTGGGGGTGCTCCCTTCCTGCCAGTATCATCCCAGTGCTTTCTGAGACCCACCCCCCCACCACCTGAGAAACTCTCAAGGATTGTCCTCCTGTCCCTCGTTCTCCAGAACAATCTCCATGGGCTTTCCCTCTTCTGGAAGGAACAGCTAACCCTTCATCAGCATCTGCAGGGCTTCCCAGAAAGGCTTATCTCAAACGTCTGGCTATTTCTCACCTTCTCAAAGTGACTTTGGTGGGGAGATGGGGTGGACTTGGCCGAGGTCCTCAGCAGTGAGATCAAACGAAGGTCGATAAGCAGGCGAGTACATAAAGAATGCAGGTCAGGAAGACTGCATAGCCAACTGTATGCTTAAGAGGGAACACAAGCACTTAGGAGCTTCAGGGCTGGTGAATAAGGGTAGGAAAGAAGGCAGAAGGTTAGGATTCAGCCATCTGTGTGTGGTTTCCATCGGGGCTTCTCAACCCCACACTGTGAACATTGTGAGCTGGATAATTCTTGTTTGGGGGCTTGCCCTGTGCGTAATAGCGTGTTAGCAACAGCCTCCACCCCTATCTGTCCCTTGTCAGTGATATCTCTCCACCACTGTGAAAACCAGGACAATCTGTGCTCATTGTTAGACATTCAGATGATTCACAAACACATTAAGAAGTGTTCCAAATCCTCAGCTCTAAGAGGGATACAAATTAAAACAACTTTGAGACATCAGCTCAAC